GGTTGTGTATCTCTTCCCATGCACAGCTGTTGTTGCCAGGCCCCTGCTTCTCTCTGGGAGGTTATAATCATCCATCCATGCTTTCAGAGGTGAGCAGAACTGCAGTGGACTCTCATTATTTAACACTGCGTTATCTGCCCATTCTTTTCCTATGAGAGACAGAAAAGAGGTGGAGCATGATGAGATGGGGGAGGGACCTTGGAGGACTTGTGGGGAGAGGAAACCCTAGTCAGAATATATTTTATGAAAAAAATCCATTTTCAATAAAAATGAAAGAAAGAAAGAAAAGTACAAACCTTCAGGTTTTCACGTAGCTCTGTGGTTGATATGGAAGCTCTCTCCAAGTTGATGCTAAAGAAAGACCTTCAGCATTTCTACTGGTCTTTTATAGTAAGCATCTCAAATTTTGGGGAGTAGGCAAAAGGCAGTGATTGTGGGAAACATGGTGGGGACAGAAATATACCTGCTTCCAGACCAATCACAACAAGAACAACTTACCGTCTGAGGTTCATGCTCATGTTAGGAGTACTGGGCCTTTCTAAGTGCTGGGACTTTGTGGGCATCTCTGGTGAATGTCAGCCTGCTTTCCACCATTTATGTTCTGGAGTTTCAATCGTCCTGTATTGTCACACAGCTTACTGCTTTCAACCTTCTTGGCCTTTGTTGACCTCTATCTTCTATGATAATTCCTTTTTTTCTGTGGAATTTATATATTAAAAATTTTTCCTTTTCTGAGGCTTTGAGGAAGAGTTAAAACAAAAAGGAAGAACATCAAATCAAGCTCTAAAACCAGAAGTGTTGGCTTTGACTTTTCCTATTTGATTTACTTACTTAATTTTATTTATTTATTTTAGCATGCACAATAATGGTATTCACCATGGCATCTTTCATATCTTCATGAACATATGCTATTACATTTAGTCTCTCTCATTCAAACTCCCCCCCACTACCCTCCATCAGGTTCTCCCTCCATCATGCGATCTTTTGAAACATTTTTAAAACAGATAAGGAAATTTACTATGTTTACATTTACATTGTGTTTAACTTCTTGTTCTGGTATCTTAACTATGCACCACTAACCATCACAACTTCTATGAGAATAGGGTAACCAACCATTAAACCCTTTATTGTTCTAATCCCTTGTTTTCAATCAATAATTTGTCCAAATATTGTAGCTTTATTTCTTTACAGAAAATACTAGTAACTATCCCACTGTCCTGTTTTAAGTTCTGATTGCATACTTTCAAGGACTATCATTTTTTTCTTTTTTAAAATTTATTTAAATAAGAAACAGGCTTGCTTCACATGTCAATCCCAGCTCCCTCTCCCTCCCCTCCTCCCTGCCCCCTGCCCCCTACCAATCCCCACAACCCCTCATTCAATCCCCTCTTGACTCTCCAGGGAGGGTCAGGCCCTTCATGGGGGATCTCCAAAGTCTGTGATATCATCCAGGGCAGGGCCTAGGCCCTCCCCCACGTGTTCAGGCTGAGAGAGCATCCCTTCATGTGGAATGGGCTCCCAAAGTCCATTCGGATGCCAGGGATAAATAATGATCTATTACCCAAGGCCCCAAAGATCTCTGAGGCCTTCTCACTGACACCCACATTCAGGGGGTCTAGATTAGTCCCATGCTGACCTTTCAGTCACAAAAAAGAGAAACATGAGTTTTCATCCAGTGACTGATGGAAGCAAAGGCAGACACCCACAACTAAACAATGAACTGAACTCAAGGACTGTCACTTTTTTAACCATATGATATTTTATAGAACTCAAGACTATGTGTTAATTTGTCTTTATGGTAGTGAAGTACAGGAAGCTTTGTAGGAACTGAAAGCAGTCTGAATGAACCTTGGCAAAGATTGGTCTAAACCACTGTGCAAAGTGTCCACATGAACTTTTGCAGTTGGCTTCTCTGAGTGTCTCTACTGTAAATGTCAGTTTTTCTTGTGGTCGGTGACATCAATTAATTGAAAACAAAACTCAGAAACATGTAGATGCCTGTTTTAACAAGTGCATGCAGCATGGCCTGCGGTAGGTTTTATTTTGCAAACATTGCCTATTCTTTAGAAGCTAGACAGAAAACAAGTATAGACTTGAAATGAGCCAGTAGTGTTGGAGGGAAGGTTTCAGTGACCCTTCTTATCCTCAAAGAGGATTTCCCACACATGTATAAGGAAATAAGTATAAATGGATCTAGTGACCTTGAATTTAATATTGTTTCATTCAATATTTAAAATATGCATTGTATAAGTTCTTCTTCATTGTCTTCTACCACTAGGGATTCATTTACCATCTATTTATAGAAAATGCTAAAACATTTGTCAATACTCATCTGACCTATCTGCCATATTTCTAACGCAGTCTCAATGATTTTCCTGAGCTAACTTGAAAGCTACAAGTCTAAAAATCAATCAAGAAAGCTGAAAGTCACTCCTATATTTCTTAATACATTTACCTTCAAGGACGGGGCCCAAGTGAAATGATTTAGTTACATTCCATTTTCAACAATTTTTCTTTTATCAGTGACCAATAAATAGATGGGTATACATCCAGTGCTTTCAATTTCTTTCAGTCTGTCTGATGGTTTGGTAAATTCTAGGCACTCTACTCCAAATACAATCTGCTTTCAAGATGTCCACTTTTGTTGCTTCCCCTGTAATTGCTTTAATGTAAATCCTCAAGCCTCCCAACAATTAAATCTATGACATAATTGCCGTATGCAACATGCAGCACAGATTTGAAAACCGAAAAAGACAGTGAAAACATCTTAATGTAATCTTTTATATGATATAGATTAAAATCTCAAAAAACCAGTTTTACTGGAAAATAAGACTTACTCTGTAATTTTTAAAAATGAAAACACGATTACATAATTTCCCAGCTCTCCGTCATCCTGCCCCTCCCCCTGCCATGTGTTTCATCTCTTCCTCCCAAATTCACATTCCTCTCTTCCCCAATTATTGCTGTCATTTCTGTGTGTGTGTGTGTGTGTGTGCATATAAACACATAGATATATAAATACAGCTTCCTGGGTACATTTACTGCTATTTGTATGCATATGATTTTATTGTTGACCATTTGGTACTGGATAGCCAAAGAGAGGCACATCCTTGTGGATGCCAATTTTTCCCTCTCTCAGCTGTTATTAGTTGCCTATAAAAGGGAATACAGTCTGGGACCCTAGGATATTTTGTGTTCTTTTCCTTGTCTTTTGGAATCTATAAATTGATGAGGGATGTTCTTATGTATGTCACAAATATGCTTTGGTTTTATTGGTTAATGAATAAAGTTGTTTTGGCCTATGCTAGGGTAGAATATAGTTAGGTGGGAAACAGAAAGGAAAAGAAAGAAGGCAGACTCAGGGAAATGACATGCAGCTGCAGAAGGAATAATATGTCAGATCTTTACCGGTAAGGCATGACCATGTGGTAATATGCAGATTATTAAAAATAGTTTAAAAGAAAGAGCTAGCCAGTAATAAGTCTGAGCCACTGGCCCAACAATTATAAGCAGCAGTGGAGACCCTTGAGTGGGGGAGAAGCCAGTCCATGAGGACCAGTAGGCCAGAGAAAAATATTCAACTCCAATGAACCAGGAGAGTCTGTGCAGGCTACAGGTCTGTGTTTTCATTCTTCCTTCTTTATTTCCTGAAACTGTTTCCCCCTATGGTTCATATATCCTGAGCGAAGCCTGAAAACCTCAATGAAATAATGCTGCTGGTGGGAGGAAAGCATTCTATCCTCTCCATGGAAATATTTTATTTCCTCCTGTGTCCTCTAGGGAACATGAGTTGTTTTTAAACTTACAACCCCTTCTCCCTTTGCTGTGTGTTCTCTTTTCTTAGAAAAAGGGGAATTGGAGGAGAGCAAGCAGGCTGTTCCACAATGCACCTCAGCCTCCTCTGTGCCAAGCTTTGTATTGCAATGATCCCATGTATAAAGTGCCCACTGGACAGGCAGTATGGTGAGAACATGCAACATCTGAATTTTAATTATAGTGGTGGTAAATACTCCTTGTTAGCCCAGAGGAAGCCACTCTTCAAGTTTGCTTTCTTTTTGTAAAGAAGCACTTGACACAATTAGAGAGAAATTATCAAAGGGCAGAACTGAGATCAAGTTCCTATCACAATCTTGATGTACACTTACCTATAAGAAAGTAGTAATTATACTTACTAAACAATGATATTTAGGCTATGCTCCAGCTGATGAATTTTTTTTAACTCTTACTGTGGTTGTTTGTGACTGTGTCTCCTGACTGGTCTTGTACTTGAATCAATCATCTTGCCCCTAATTCTCAAATGCTGTGATTAGAGTAGCAAAACACCATGCCTGGACCAATTTTAATTCTTTATTTTTTATTTTTTTTATTTTTTGGTTTTTACGAGACAGGGTTTCTCTGTATTGTTTTGGAGGCTATCGGTCCAGCCCAGCCTTGAACTCACAGTGATCCGCCTGCCTCTGCCTCCCGAGTGCTGGGATTAAAGGCGTGCGCCACTACCGCCCGGCTTTAATTCTTTATTTTTTATTTTACATGAATGTCAGTAAAAAAAAACCCATGTGTCGCTATATCCAGTTCCAACAAATTCTATTTTTTTTAGTCAATCTAATTTATCTAATCCTTATTTCTAGACTTCCAAATTGTCTTAAAGCAAACCATGCTTTTCATTAATAATTATGTATAAAGTTATACACAGGAATTTTATTAGCAGTATTGTAATGAACGAGAAAAGAAAAATAAGCCAACAGTTTACTTTCATTAATGAAGTTCATCTCCTACCTTGCATACATACTTTGTTACAGCAAAAATTAAAGAGCATGTGAGGTTTTCATAGCATATGGAATTAGTAAAGTTTACATAGACATATGATTATGCAAGCTAACTCTGTCCTGGTGATTAATCTATTGTGTACACAATAGCACTAGGGTTCAGGAACGCCCCTCTTCTGGTCACCTAGAAACTTTTTATTAGTCAACAACAAGTGGAATAAACTCTTGGGCTGTAGAACAAGGTTAAGGCTAGCTGACTTGGATCATCTCTGAGATTTTAGAACAAATAACCATTGCCAAGTTTGAATGTGCTAAACCTTTAGGCTTTCTTGGCAAGAGATAATTATATTATTTTTGGAGCTTAGAAATGGATACAGAAGACATGGTTTTGGGTAAATTAGGTCAAATATTAAAGCAGATTTGGAGACAAAACCAAATGTTGAAGCAGGCACTGCTGGGTGACAAGCTCTGTGAGATGGCTGGTGGAGCCACTTGGATATCCACGGTGATCTTTTTGGGCCAAGGGCTCAATGCAGCCCTTCATCAACTGTTGGAACACACTGCAGGCACCTTTCAGTCCACCTGCCAGCAGCTGTATGGACTACTTGACAAGGATAATCAATGTATCTGGAGACAAGGCAAGTAGTCTATTTTGCTTACTCAACTTTATATTTCCTTTTCAAACACTCATCTGGTCAGTATTTAAGATGGGATATGTATAGAAATACAATGTTACAAGAGACTGTCGCTACTATAGAGAAAATAGGGGAAGACAACATTTCAAAGGTTTAGACACTCTTGCTGTTTGGGCACGATGGAGTGTTTCAGACTTCTCTGGTAGCCAGGTTCATATTTTAAGGAAGGGAATCTAGAGCTCTTCCGGGAAATATGTGGTATTTAAACTGACACCCAAACAACAAACTAGAGCCATGCAACTGGAAATTCAGGGGTTCGGTCTGTTATTTGCAAGACCCAAGTTATGGGGGTAGGAAAGTACAGGACTAATTAAAGCAGAACAGGCAGTTTTTCTAAATTGGAATAGCATGTTCTAACTTTACAGTCATTTAAGCCTAGTCCTATTAATTATAAAAACACTGGAAAGACTGGATGAGCTAGAAGAAACTGGATCCCTACACACTGAAGTCAGGATATAAATTCTTGGGTATATGACCAGGTGTGTGTGAGAGTAAGTGTGGAGAATACAGTATCTAAAGAATGGGGTCTTCAGAGCAACGCTTTCAGAATATCTAGATGGCATTATGAAATTCAGCTCTCAGATATACAGTGTCAAGGTGAGTAAATGAGCCTTGTCAGTCAGAATTCCACAGTAGATAGCACTAAGGAGTTCAGTCTAGAGGACAAATAGTGACCATTAGGGAATCTGTCCCAAAGCTGTGTGACCTCAGGACAATCAGCAGGAGCTCACATCCAACCAGTCTCTGAAGGACTGAGCAAAGTCCTAGACAACAAGCCAAGGCAAGTAGTCAGCAACCAAAAAGGATGAGTTCAAAATAAACATGGGATCTCAGACATAAGACAAAGAGTAAGTTGTCAGAGCTATAGTGCAAAGGCAAGCCCAGACTAGTGAAAGGATGATTTGGGGACAGTGAAATGTGTGGACTTTGGGTTCAGTCTCCTAGCTCAGAGCTGAGAGTATAGAAAGGTTCAGCCTGAAAAAAGCTAGAGAAGAGAGACGCACAGAGTGGAGCTTAAGATGAAATCAGGGTGGAGTGAGAAATGGATTGACTCAGATATTGATGATACTTAGCCTTAGAGAAAAGCAGTTTGTCTAGGTTGTTGTCATTGATTAGCCACTGCACGATCCAGTAAGAATAATATGATCAAAGTTACTCTTTGAAAGAACGATTTGACAGATTTTAGTGATCATATGCTTAGTAGAGGAGGATTGAATTTCACACCACATACAGTAACTGTGTCAGTGTAAATAGCATAGCTGTTGCATTTCTGCTATGGACCTGTCCTGGGTGTTCAGATAATTTTATGTTCAGTATTTGGAATGGACAATTGATATAGTATAGTATCTCCCAAGGCAAAAAACAACTGCCAAACACACCAGATGACTGAGGAGTTGTTGCCTCCATCCTTAATTGGGAGAAGGATCCTCACATTTTTCTATAAAGTTTAAAGCAGACTCAGGAGGAAAAAGGGTCAGTTTCAATTTTTGGTTGCTATGTTAAAATTAGAGATTTCTTTCCTTCTAGCTATATAAGTGTTAAAAGCTGGCAAACTGTGCAAATACTTTTTTTTTTGCCTGTGCAGAAGCATAATTTGACTTAGTTTTTACTTCTTCTTTGTGTGTGTACATGTGCAGAAATTATTGCTTTCACAGACCGCCTCATGAAAGTGAATGAACATTTGGGGAACACTGCTATGCTTCTAAGGGAAGAAGAAAAGGAGATGTGTAATTTATGCAGCATGCATGCGGACCGTACTCCACAGCACACAATATCAGCCATTCAAGATACCAAAGCAACAGACATTGCTCCAAGCAGGGAACTAAATGTCATGGAGACAGCTACTGTTTCTCCTACAAATGCAGGGGAAAGTCATTACACAAACCAGGTCCAGTTAAAAGAAAATGAAACACAGATATACTCTGAATTAGGGGGAAAAGAAAACAGTGCATCATTGAGTGGAAATGTAATAGGGCAAGAAGAGTCACAGAGCACAGTGTTCCCTGATAATGCAGAAAATGAAGATGAAAAACAAATAGAACACATGACTGCTGAGAACATAAATGGCAACAAGGAAGACATTCATGATGTAATCCAGACAACAGCAGGGGAAACTCGAGAGATCTCAGAAAGCCAAAGAGAAGAGATTACCACATCCCCAACAGCATGGGATGTCTCCAGTAAGGACGTGAATAGTCTTCATAATGAGTCAGAGAGTCTAAAACAAAAGTGTAACATAATGGAAAAGGAGTAAGTAAAGGCACCGTGAGAGATGCTTATATATGCCTATTTCTACATGTATTTCTGTGGTTACTCAATGCCTTAATCCCTTTGTTGTGGTAAACTACCATAAACTGGTTTATTTTGAGTTAAAGAAGTTAATTTCTTACAGTTATAGAGGTAGATAGACAAGGCACAGGTGATTCAGGAGATTCAGGGTCTACTGAAAGCTTACTGATTCACAGATGGTACCTTCTTGCTGCATTCTCAAATGGTATAAGGAGTAAACCAAGTTCAAGGCCCTTTATTAACAACACTAATCCCATCCATGAGGACTGTGCTATGATCTAATATGGTCCAACAAAAGCTGTGTCTCCTAACACAGTCACCTATGGGATAAAATCTCAACATATGATATGAAGGACTATACAATGAAGTTTTATATTTTTTGTGTCATGTCTCCAAAAGTTACTGAAAACCAGTGATTCTGGTTAAAATCAACCCACGGAAACTTATGTGTCTGCTGTTGCTATTATCACTCTGCTCTTCTTAATATTAAGTAGTGTTAGCCAGGAGTGGATGTTGCACACCTTTAATCTCAGCACTCAGGAGGCACAGGCAGGTGGGTCTCTTGTGAGTTTGAGGCCAGCCAGGTCTACAGTTAGTGCCATAATAAGCTCCAAAACTACATAGAAACCCTGTCTTGAAACAACAACAACAACAAAATATTAAGTAGTGTTTTAGAGAAACATTAATTAGTATGAAAACATTTACAATTGTTCAGAACAGAACACTTTTTCTAAATAACAAAATTCAATTTTGAATAAGAAAAAAGATTTCAGACTGTCAAAAAATTTAAAAACAATTTGCTAATATAATTTTGTAAGCAGTAGACATATATGTGACATCTTCAAGATATATATTATGTATATCTCCGTGATAATTGTCATCAGTCTTTAAACTTTGTCTTTAGAACTCCAGGGGACTTGTGGGTAGGCTTTTCAGGGTTCTTAAAGGTAAATGTGCTCCCACCTACTTAATTCAGAATATTATCACAAGTTATTTTTATCAGATTCTCTAAAAGCCCATGGAACAAAACCATCAGAAAGCATGATGTAATTTATGAGCTATCCCCCAACTCCCATACTGCATGGTAACAATACTGCTTGATTTGTCTAAATTGACAGTTTCTCATTATATTTTCCCATATGAATACAACATCTTGCTTAGCAATGTGATATAGTGGGGAAATATTTGGGGATCAGAGCAAAATTATTTTTATCTGCTTTCTTATTATTAGCCAGCTTTTTTGACACTGGGAAACTTGCTTCATGTTTTCTTTTTGTTTGTGAATTTGCTTTTGGTCTCACTTTCTCATCTATGAGTACTATCTCCTTCTTGGAGTATGTGATAGAAAATCAGACAGTCACAGAGGGGCCTAGTGTTGGGCTACTCTGCCAGTGTTCACAGTCACGGCCAACTACTTCGACTATCCTACCCCTCCTCACTGCTGTTTCTCACCTGTATCTGTCTCTGCATAACATGCTGATGCTCTGCTGTGTAAACTCACAACACCATTCCCAGGAAAACATCACCAAGTGTCTGTTCTTTAGCAAGTACTTTGCATACATTGACTGTGGAACTCTATAAAAAAAAGAAAGAATGCAATATATTCACAGCAAAGAGAATTTAACGAATTCTGTAGATGAATGTCATTGCATGGAAGACCTCTATGGTTTGCAAGCATTACCTCCTCTAACAAACAACTTCTAAAGTTGTCAATATGTGGTTTTCCGTATCATTTGAGAAAAACATTGACACTTCATATCCTCCCATTCAGAAATGACTCGAAACATCAGCTAGTGAGTCACTGCTTGCACCACTCCCTCTAACACCTCCTTTAGGTGTTCCCTGGTTAGTGACTTCCTTTGTGGCATTGAACCAATTGTGCTTGGCTTGCATATTTACTAAGATGACTCTTCGTTGAAGTTCCCCAGGCTAGGAAGCCATCATATCACACAAAAGTATATATAATAAACAAAACCTTGCTTAGTATCCTTTGTGGTTCCTCAACCTTTAATTTACCAGAAGGAAGCTATATTAATGTGTGCACAAAGGTAGGAGGGAACTAAATCATTGTAATCTATTTAATAACAAGAAAAAGTCATATTTGATTAGGACTATGAAGAATGAATTCATTTACAAATCTCTTTTACACTGTATCTGTCATTTGGGAACTACATCTAGTAGAGGTGGGATACAGAAGAGAACATTCCTTAACTTATATGAAGATGGTTCACTGAATCTTCTGCTGAATAATGTTTCTTTTTCTGAATTACCATTATCTCTATAAACAAAAATGAAAAACAGTTCTGGATGCTGGAGACCTCTTTTTAATTCAGGACTGCATACATAAATTAAAGACCTCTATAAGTTAAATGTTTTATTATATTTCTTTATAAAACAGTAAACTCCAAATTATATTAGCAGCAAATGAAAAACAGCTAAACCTTCACTAATACATAACTGAGAAAATAATGCTGTGTTATTCATTGATCCAGTTATTTCTCTTCAGCATTGACTTTGTTTCCATTATTTTTCTGTTGTGAAATATATATCATCAACAGAACCTCAAGCGGATGGTTTTAACACAGAGATCAAATTGTTACTGAGCATGCAGTGTATTCAGATCCACTACTATTAAAGAGGTTTAAATATTATATCTCATTCAAACTTCCCAAGATCATAGATTAGATGTTAGTTTCAAGTTGTAATAGATGGAGTAATCATTACTTAGGGAAGATTTGAGAAAGGCATGGCAATATTTGAGAGCTTTTACTTCCACACTTAAGATGCATGGAGTCAACTCTTAATTCTAAAACTGAACATCTGTGATATTTGTATTAAGTTAAAAATCTCAGCCTCTGTTTCCCTATACACATAGGGACACAGAAGCTATAAAAATTAAGTAAAACTATGTGTCTAAAACCTGACCCACAGAAAGCATTAAACTGTAGCCTATTTTGAGAGGTTGTGATATTTTTGGACAAACAAATAGGAAACACCTGGTCTCAAATTTAAATTCAAATTTATAAGGTTCTAAAAATCTTTACAAAGATGAGGTTGAGGAAAAATAAAGTAGTTAAAATAAACTTTTCAAATGATAATCTGAGGAATAGAAACAATGTATTCCTATTTAATAGAGTTAATATACAAAAAGCTCAAATAAATATCATTATTTGATCTAGTGTACTTTGGCAATTTCTGTGTCTCAGATTCAGCACTTCCTTTTGAGGCAGTAGGAGTCATACAGATAATTCCCTGGCAGGCAGGCAGACAGGCAAACAAATAAGAGGTCTTAGGTAGATTAATGCCCTTTATACTTAAACATTTAAGATAGGCAACTTCCTTGTTCTTCTTCCTCTCCAAATCAAGGACTTCGTGGCTCTTTTCCTTGCAGAAAGAACCATTCAGAATTTTCAAGTCTCCCAGGACAGGTGGGGAGTCAGGAATGAGCACCTGTAGAAGGGAATAGCAATTAGATTTTCTTCTTTGTCTGGATTATTCGGTGTCCTGCAATCTCCCAAACTAGACACTTCTGAGGAAGAAAGGGGATCCACCCCATCCCTAGTTATGTAAAGAGTCTGAATAACCTTTGCACTGTTTTTGTCTTCTCTCTGTCTTTTTCTCTCGTTTCTCTGTCTCTGTCTCTTTCTGTCTTTATCTCTGCCTGCCTGCCTGCCTGTCTCTCTCCTCTCTCTCTCTCTCTCTCTCTCTCTCTCTCTCTCTCTCTCTCTCTCTCTCTCTCTCTGTGTGTGTGTGTGTGTGTGTGTGTGTGTGTGTTTGGGGAGGGGAGGGAGAGTGCTGTGTGTGCATGCACATGCATGTTTACTTTTGTTTTCAATAAGGAATGGGCAAGTAAATACTGGGACTTTCCTTTTTTCTGACTTTTCACTTTTAAATAATCAGAAAAAAAATCTATTCTTCCTTCCAAGAGAACCTCACCATACAGGCATCACTGTCCTCACAGTTAGGCAAACTGTTAGCTTATTTATGAACATCAATAATTTTGAATTTTAACATAGAGTGGATAATGGTCAGGAATAAATCAGTCACTGTGATAATAAAATTAGTTAAAAACAATTATAGCTTATGTACTTAGCCAATACAATGAATACAGTATAGGCAATTTCCTTACAACGTGAAGGTATAGCTCTTTATACTTACTGTAGAATAATACTTTTAATTCAGATTTTCCCTGTGAGGCAGATATTGTTTTTTACCCCATATTACAGGAAATTGTGGTATATGGAGGTTTATTATTATTATTATTATTATTATTTAGAAACAATCTTATTTCACTTATCAATTCAAGTTCCCTCCCCCTCCCATCCTCTCATGCCCCCACCAACCCCCCATCCCACCCTTCCTCCATTCCCCAGGGAGGATGAGGCATTTCATTGGGGATCACCAAAGTCTGTCACATTATTTGGGGAGGCCTAGGCCCTCCCCTGTATATCTAGGCTGAGAGAGTCAATAAGGGAGAGAACTAAAGCTCACATAAAAGCAATGCACCTCACACTTTGCGACCTGCATTTGTCTGTAAAGAACATTGATAGAATCTTGGAAAATGAAGCTCACTCTTTTTTTCTGCAGGTATCTTGATGTGCTCCGTGGTGGGACTGACCCTCAAGTGTCTTGTTACATCACAGCACCATCGCATGTCCTGCATCAGTTAGATTGCCAGATAGCTAACAGCATGAGCTCTTTTATAGTGAGTGATAGTGAAGAGCTGGTCAGCAATGTCATCACTGTTCAATGCTCAGATAAGAAAAAGAAAATTCCATTCCCAATATGCATTGCAATTCCATTCAAGGGAAGCTACAAGGGAAATTATAGAGACATCATGGTGAAAATGTCTGACACAAACTTTCAATCAAGTTACCTAACTCCAAATTCATTGGAAGGAATGAGGGGAAGTTACAAGGTCAGTAGAACCTGAGCTATAACTGTATTTGATGTTTTTCTTTTCTTCTTATAATTCAGAATATTATGTTATAGTGTAATCGTAATTATTCCATTGTATAAGTATGAACACGTTTGTGTTAGAACATTCATGATTTTTTTCTAAACACTATCTATAAAGTTCAAACAGCAGAGATTACTTGCCCAAGTCAGTAATAGAGAATAGACCTAGGACTTGGCAAATGTTACCTTTTTTCTTCTAGAAAACAACCAACACCATAGCTTAATTAACTTCATGGTTTGCAGTAACTTCATATTAATGTGTGTAATGTGCTGGTTTGCAGCCCACACAGAAACACCAGAATCTTCAGATGTTACAGTTTAGCTTTTATTATTTATAGGTTTGGAGAATATATATAAAATGAAACTGTGTGTGTGTGTGCTTTGATAAATCTATAAGTGGAAATTAGTCCAAATATTGAGGATTATGTACCTAGTAGTTAGAATGTGGGCAGTAAAGGAAGAAATCAGTTTTCACATTTGACAACATTGTTAATTAGAATGGATCAAGACACCTCTCTGTAACTAAAACCTTTTATTTGAAAAAAAACATAGTAATGTCTCCATGATAAGACAGCAAAAATTAAACAAACCACTTAAGAAGATGAAAAAAATCTTTAAACAAGCAAGTTATTAATAAGTTTTCACCGTTTGAAACAGACTTTATTGTAATAATATCAAGGCTACCTATGTCACAAATTCAAATGTTGCTGAGACAGAATCTAAATTATTAAATTTAATATTAAAGAGTTGATGAGGACTCAGGTTAGGGCTTTCTGTGGGCAACCCATTTTTTAATTCAATTTGTGCTTATCTTTTTATGTGATTGTTTCTTATTAGATGAGGACAGAAAAGACTACCTGTTAAAATCTCCATAATACATTCCATCCTTTTGGTTTGTTTACAAATCAAATCGAGGTTATATAAATAAATAACAAAGCCAAGTCGCTTCTCGTTAATCCAATTCGTGCCACCAGTACCTGTTAGATTTAGACTAGCTGCCTGTGAATGTGAGAGTCTGATTAGCATTGCTCTAGAGTAGGCGTGTCTTAATCTTGGCAAGTGTGTGTGCCCTTTTTAACGAGTACTTTAGAAACTGCTCACAGTACAAGTGCCTTCCCAAATGGGTTCCAATGATGTTTTGTAAATGAATAATCAAGACACAAGAAAGATTAAGAGGATTATTATCTACTAAAAAACTGTACTTTTCTTTACATAGGAGACTAATGAGAGTTATCTCTAATTTTAGTTCAGGGACATTTGAGTTCTGGATTCCTTCCAAAGTTTTATGTGGGTCCTATGACATTTAAACGCTCGAATTCTCAAAGGCCTTTTTAGCTTCCCCAGTATCTGCCAAATGTGGCCTCGGTGCTCAGCAACCACCATTTGTTCCCAGGAGACCTTTTCTTCTCGCTGCTTTCCCTCTGGCCACTGAAGGAGGATCATTGTGCTCAGTATTTTCCCAACCGTGAGATTGTGAAATGTTTCCCTTAGTCAGCTTTCAAATGAAGATTATTTTCCATTGTGAATAACCCAGAGATGTTTGTGCGTGTGCATGGCTATTATCCACTCATGCTGGGTGGAGTCTAGCTGGTATGAGGGGACACATGAGCAGAGCAAATTACTTCTAAGTCTGCTTCCTTGTTTTAAGCATTGGTGATTACACGCATCCATCGTTTTGCTCCCATTTTGCATGATAAATACTGTTGAGTGTGTGCTTGGATATATGATTATTTATTTGAATATAAATAAATGAGAAAGGAACAATGCATTACTCCTCAGTTATCTGTTTCCACTGCAGAAAGAAATGGAGACAATGACCTTATTATGACATCTGATGTTGCGATCTGTCAGAAAGAAGATTTTTTTTTCTGACAGCACATTTGCTGCAATGTTAAAGTAAAATGCTGAAGTACTAAAATTCTATTCTTTGGAATTCTGTAAAATAGCCCAGAAAGTTCTAGACAAGATCTATATATAAAATTCATTCTATCAAAAAAATCATTCCAGTCAAAAATGGCTAGGATTCCAGAAGTAACTAAAACTTGTGAAGATATTATGACTATTACACATGTATGAAAATTTAATTTAACTTACAAAACAAATTCATTTCTCAATTGGAAATTCCAAGCTTAAGAAACTCTTAACATCTACTTATGCTTTGCCATAGGAAAGACCCATCCATGCTCAGAAAATGTGATCTTTCCACACCATGAGGAATTATGGGTAGCAAATGCATTTTTGTTTGTTTGTTTTGACTTCCCATAGAATATGTGTTATTCATTGCTTGCTTCAGCAATGTCTTTTACTCCACATAGGGGACTTGTGCTGCAGTGAATGTTTACAAGTTGGGTATGTTTTCAGTAGTGTCGTGTTTAAAGAAACAGTCTTTTACGGTGACAAAAAAGGGGCTCACTCTGAAGTCAAGCGTGGATGCCCGGGTATCCTTCAGCTATCCTGCAGGAGTTTTCAGCTCACCAGTGCTTGTACAATTAAAGGTAAAATTTCAAAAGGGAAATTAATTGTATCTTATGTGTGTCAGTCATGGTCCTAAAGATGTAAAAGATACAGGTTTTTCATATTGCCATAAGGCTCATCTTCTCTTGTATTTGGACTCATCTATAGTGCATTCAATAACAGTAAGCATTTTGAACACATATAAAAAAATATCTGCTTTTGTTTGCAAAGCTTTCCTAAATCGCCTTCTGTATTATTACTTGTTTAATATGTTGGCAAACATATGCTGAGTATCTACGAAACAACTACTGACTAATTTGGGGGCATTCATATAAATCTAGATTTCCAAATGAATTGATAGAAAAAGATAAGAAGCTGCAGGTACATTCAAAGGGTTATTACTATGATTTTTGGATTCTATTTACTAAAGAAAATTAGCTTTTTTGGAACAATGATTTAATGTACACAAACACTATTTTCATACAATGTAATAATGTATCAATATATATGCCAGAAGATTTATTTTATCCAATGATATTGCTTTTCATTTTAGTTTTATTTTCCCATTCTCTTTTTCCTATTTTTCCCAGTTCCTATCACAAATAGTAAGTCAAGGAGAAAAACTGGAAAGAAAGCCTAACTGTAGTATTTCATTCAAAATATTTTCTATAAATTTTGATTTGTGTTAACATTTATATTACTAATTATTCTTATGTGAGAGAAACTGAAATAAATATTTTGTTTTGTTTTCAACTTTGTGCTCATTACATGATCTAAGAAGAGCAATATTTAGAAATTAATAAAATGTCACTTTTGTTTTCTTGATTATGTTGTCTATAATTAAGAGTATTTCTAAAACACACACACATACACAATTTTATACATACATAAACAAACATGTGTGTTTTGTGAGTATGCATAAATGTGTGCATGCATGAGTTTGTGTATGTGTGTATATGTGTGTGTGTGAGAGAGTGTGTGCATATACATATGAATAAGAAACCACGTTTTAAAATATGTTACTCAATTGTGTTCTTCTATATAAAAAGCTTTATTTATAGGCAAGGATGTATAGAAAAACACATAAAATTGCATTCTTTAAAGTTTTCAGAAAATTGTTTTAAGGGCATACTAATACTTGTGTCTTCTGAATGTATATGTGTTGGAGTGTGTATACATGAACATAGTTTTCCTTCTTTTTTGCTTAGATCCAGCCAGTTGACCCTTCTCTGGTGTCATATTTAAAAGCACATCAAGATTCTTCCTATTTAGTTCAGTCCACAAGTCCTCTTATCCATACCCAGCATCCATCAACTCATTCCTTTCAGAAGCCAGTAACAGTGTTCCTCCCTTGTTCTCCTCTCCCTGAGTCTGAGAAGGATCACAGAAGACCAGAGAGTACCACCATGCACAGGAGCCTGCCCACACCCTCGTACTTCAACAGGTGAGTCAGAGAACTACTACTGCTAACTATTTAATGGGAGACAAAGAACTTTCCATGATTAACTGTAATCAGATGGCTTGAATGTAAATATCTGAGTAAAATAATATGACACATATTCTCATTGTTGACCCACACAATAGGGAAGAGCTTTAGTTCTAATGGACTCGAAACTGTACCATGTTAAAAAAGTGGTGCTTTTTAATATAGATATAAGATCAAACATTTCAAGAATTTATGATATGGTTAATTATGAGAATGGAACATGGTACTTATAATTTCTAAACTCAATGTACAAATAAGATAAATTTGATCTTTTAAAAATAAATTAAATTTTCTGGGAGGTGGTGATGTGATGCACTTGTGTGATGCCTTTATTCTAGCACTTGTGTGAGAGGCAAGCAGATCTCTGTGAGTTCAAGACCAGACTGGGCTACAGAGTGAGTTCCAGGACAGTCAAAGCTACAGAGAGAAATCATGCCTCAAAATTGATTAGTTAATTAGTTTAATTTGAATTTATATTTACCTACTAGTGAATTCCTTCCCCGACATTACATAATCAAACAACATATTCATGAGTAAAGTCAAATATATACATTTTCACCAGCCAAAATAAACAAAAAGTGAGGGGCTGGCAAATACAATGTAAGACAGTAAACCTTATCTTAATTCTTATCTTTTACTTTAAGATAATTTTTCTCTCCTAACAGAGGAGGCAGAAGGGGATATTCCCATCCATTAAACATGAAAGGACTTGTTTTGAAAAACAAGAATTGAGTAATAGCTACTATTACCCTAGAAGTCACTCTGTGGTAGATTTGTTTTGTATACTGTAGCCTACATTATCATTTTATCAATGTAAAGACTTAGGTGTAGGGACATTAAGAACCTCTGCAAGGCTGGGTGTTGGTGGCACACGCCTTTAATCCCAGCACTCAAGAGGCAGAGGCAGGCGGATCTCTGTGAGTTCAAGGCCAGCCTGCTCTGCAGAGCAAGTTCCAGGACAGCCTCCAAAACAATACAGAGAAACCATATCTTGAAACTAACTCCCCCCCCCAAAACCCTCTGCAAGTCTGCTAACTAGTGAGTGATGCAGTCATGAAGTGAGTTCACACATTTCCTCTCATTTGTCTGTGTTAAGGGCAACATTCTCCTTCCTATTATGCTTGCAGCTTAGGAAATTTGGAGCAGCACTATGTTGATTTGTGGCTAGGGGAAGAAATTAAACATTCTTTACTGTCAGATAAATATGGAGAACATAGAAATAGACATAATTAGTTGTGCACAAATCTCTACTCAACTTCACAAGCTGAGTCAGTTTTTAACTCACTTTCACAATTCTTTTCTTCTCTAACATATTTCCATCATCATATATCTATGACAATGTGCCATATAATTTCTTTACATTCTAGTTCAAAACACCCCAATGTTAAAAAAAACATCCTGACCTTTAAAATAAACTTTTAAGGTGATATTTGAATTATTGTCTTAAATATTTTCTTCTAAATTCTCTTATTTGTATAATTCACCTATTAAATTTTCCTAGATTCTTGATAGCCTCTTGTTTCTTACAGATTTGTCTTGAGAATTCCTATCTGTGACTGTCTCTTCAGTTAACTTTCATTAGTGGCTCTATTTTTTTATTTGGGAACTTTAATGCCTTTTTGAGTACTACAGGATTTCTGTGAGCATGAAATGGAGCTGATTTCCACAAATGGCATTTATTTCTGTCTCTGTTGAGATTCAACTCCTACTTCAAAGGGACTATTTTCAACAGTTTCAATATGCTAAGCCTGCAAGTTCATCTTTCCAGTATGCCTGTAGTCCCAAGGAGGAACAGTTTCACACTCTGGTCATTTGATTATTGCTTACTGCTGCTGGCTCTGGTTTCTTGATTATTGGAAGGGTATTTGTCCTGATGGAAATCGCTCATTCCAGTCTGACTGTCCCTTCTGCTGTAACTCTGACCATACACATTTTTTTTGTTATTGTTGAAAAGTTTGGGGAATTTGTTGCAGAATTTCCTGCCTTATGCAAATCAAAATATTATATATGTGTACATATATATATATATATAAATCATATCTGTTATCATCTGTCTTGCTTTATTGAGGAAAGACCCTCAGATTATCTGTGATATTTATATATTATAATCTTTTAGGGAATCAAATGGAGACATATATGGTAATGTTATAGATTATAACATTACATTTGTTGTACCATCCTTTGGTGCTAGTATTGTCTGGTCCATACAGGAGAATCCTACCTATCAGAATGACACAATTGCAGTGAAACATGGGTTCAGACAGCTATAAAATGTATCCCATTTGCTAAACCTGAACCTATTGTTTTGTAAAGTCTTCAAATATTTCATATACTATTGCATTCAAGAGGAGCAAGTTCCTGACAGGTTGAAAAGCCTGTCTTGGAAAATCATGAGGAGTCCCCTCTTGAAGACACCATAGTAGTATATCTTTCCACTCAAGGAAACAAAATATTGAGGCAGCATTTTTAAACAAGTGACACTCTTCTAAATGTCTTTTATGTGGTACTAAAAGAATCAAGCAAAGGTGACAAATGTCAACATCAGTTGGCAAGCTAAGCAATAGTGGAAGGACCACCTCGAATGCCCATTCCTGATAATGAACTTGATGTCTATAACTATCCGGGAGCCTTCATCCTGGGACTGATGGAAGCAGAGGCAAACACACATCTAAGCACTGAACTGAACCCAAGGAACCCAGTGACAGAGAGAGAGGAATGATGAGCAAATTGGCAAAGAATGGGCTGGCAAAACCAGCAGAGACAGCTGATCTGAACAGGGGAGTGCTCTTGGACCCCAGACTGACAGTGGGGAGGCCAGAATGGGACTGATCTGGACCCCCCAAATGTGAGTGTCAGTGAGAAGGCCTGGACAACCTATGGGGCTCTGAGCTGTGGATCAGTGTCTATTCCTGGTATACAATCTGTCTTCATGTGCCTATAGCACAAAGAGAGATGCTCTCTCAGCCTGGACTCTTAGGGGAGTGCCTTGACCCTACCAAGAGTAAAATGATAGACTCTAGACATCCCCTATGTGGAAGTATGTGGCAATAGGGTGGGGGGGGAGGGTGGAAGGGGAGTGCGGGAGGAGGGGAGGGAGAGGGAACTGGGATTGACATGTAAAACAAGCTATTTAAAATTAAAAAAAAAACTAACGATAAAAAAAAAAGATTTGTGCAAGGAGCTCTACTGTAGAATCCTGCTGCCACATACTAACCCTTAAGAAAAAAAAAAAAAGGTGACAAATGTCCATAATAGGTGATTGCCAGGCCTGTGCCAGTGCATCCTGGGCTGTGTATCTGTCATCCTGTCTCCCTGGTAGATTATCTGAGGGAAACAAACCTAGTTTATAGAGATCACCTTTTGAGTTCAAGCAGACTCAATAGGAGATTTCCATGTTACTCAGTGTCACTGCTAGAAGGAAACTTTTAACCCTAACTGGACTGATCCTGTCCTCTGAATGCATAGCCACTGACAAGAGAAGAGCTGTGGACTCAAGAAATAGCAACATCAATTTCTTGGTTTGATCACAGTTTAACATATAAAGTGAATTTTCTGTTGCTTAGAAATATATTCTTCACTGGTAATACAGAAAAAGAAAGTAAAGATGAAGAGGAAAAACAGATAAAGATGATATTTGTCTTCTATATATGGTGTTTCTACTTTATTTGCTCCATTAGCAAACATGTATTATTATTAATTGTTTCATTTTATAACTGGGAAAAATGGATTGATGCATCTTTTACTTTATCCAAAAGAGTCTTAACAGGTATTATTCTCATTTGTATACTTGCTCCCTGGTATATGGAGTCCATTGCTTTGTTCATGGATAGATAAGTAGTCAGGTTAGAAATAAAAGCCTCCTGAATGGAAATTGATGGGAGTCATCATCCTTCTTTGTCCATGAAGAACAGCATTATGTAAATATTTCTTCTTTGTTGAGTTAGCTATTCTGAATCCTGATGTAAAGAAACAAAAACACGAAGAGAGGAATTTGAAAGGGTAGATCATGCTGATCAGTACGACAGGTTAGCAATGTGTATGTTTTCACTTTTGAAAAAACAAATGTTATTCTAGTTTTTAAAGCACAGTGTCTTTAGGAGTACACTCTCAAGGCATAGTACCTAATTTACATATGAGCTTAACAGTGAAGAGTGTTCCTATATTTTTGAACAATAACTTTTGGAATAGAGGCATGTGCTGATGATTTTGCTAATGTTGAAAGATTATGAGAAATCCTCAGCTGTCATATCCACACACACAGTAGATTAGATTATGGAGTCTATGATAAGTGTAACTGGGACTAAGGACATTGTCAATTAGGCAAGACCCCAAAAATTTATCACTTGATAGTTTAAACAAGATAGTTGGATCAGGGGAAAAAAGCTTTTCTCTTATTATCACTCATTTGAATTGAAATCCCAAAGTGATTATAGTGGTAACAAATATCAAACTCAGAGTGCACAATTTCACCCATAAAATGTTCATCAATTTGTAAACTAAATACAAAACGATGTAGAAAATAGGCCACCAGAAGTTCCTCAGTATGCCATGGACCCTAGGCAATGTGACTATGCATAGTTTCCTTGTACATTTACTTTCTGCTTTAGAGTTTTTATTGCTGGGGTGGACATTGTGACCAAAAGCAACTTGGGAAGGAATAGGTTTATCTGACTTACACTTCCATATCATAGTGCATCACCATTGAAGGAAATCTGGGCAGGAACTGAGAGGGAGACCATCAAGGAGTGCTGCTTTACTGGCTTTCTCTCCACGGTTTGCTGAGCCTGTTTTGCAGACAATTGCAGGACCCCTTGCACAAGGGTGGCACCACACACAGTCCTTTGTCCCACATCAATCATGAATTAAGAAAATGCTCTACAGAAGCTTTTTTTTTTGCAATTGAGTTTTCTCTTCCTGGGTAACTAACACAAACTTGTGTGATAAGTTGACAAAAAAATAGTAAGGAAACACTTCTATTTTAAAACAGCTCCATCAAAACATGCATAATGTATAATGGGGATTGTTTTAAATTTTTGAGTAAAGAGATTCTATGCAAAAATCAGTACTTTAATGGTTAAATTAGTTTTCTGAGAAAAAGTTAATCCTAAAATGTTAATGACATTCACATTTAAAGGCACATGCATTATGTATATCACGAAGGGAATGTTCTGAAAGTAAAATGTGATATGAGAATTTTGGTAATGTGATTGCTTTCAGCACGTGTTTTCTTAGAGATTAATAACATGGTTATTTTAGTCAGCATCTTCACAAAACCTGATTCTATTTGGGGGAAGAGATGAACATTTTTAAATAAGTCAACTTTAGAAAGATGTACTATGTATTATTTATTTTAACTTTTTGTATGTGTGTGTCTATGTATATGTGTGAGAGTGTGTATGCATGTGGGCATGTGTGCGGAGATTCTAGGTTGATGGTGGGTATGTTCCTCAATCACTCTTCACTTTATTGACTGACAGGGTACTTCCATGAATGTGGAACAGACTGGCTCTACTGGTCAGTCTCATCAGTTTGCTTCAAGGATTCCTTATGTCCATCTCCTGACCAGTGGGGTTATAAGAGGGCAGGCACACCCACATACCTATTATTTATGTAGTTGTTGGGGTCAAAATTTCTATGTTCATGCTTCATGTTTTACTAGCTGAACTATATCCCCAGTACTGGTTTATTTTATTTTGGAGAATTGTCATAAAATCAAATGTCATTTTTTATCTTGACCAAATACTAGTCATTAATAGGCAACATTATTTGTCAAAGTTTGCTAATAGTGCATTAAATAGGGCATAGTCTAATTAGAGAGCTATTATTCCTAGGAGCTATGGATGTATCATGTGGTTATTTGACTTAAAGATAAGTAGTGTCTATTACTGAGCATTCTGTTTGATAATTCAGGATTTTATCTTTCTTGTATTTGGGGACAGACTCTTGTTATATAGCTCTTCTGGTACTTGCTGTGTAACCCAGCTGACTGCATATTTTGCACTCAGCTTCTACATCAGCCTCCCCAGTCCTAAGATCACAGATGCATGCTATTAGTCTTTATTATTAAGGACAAGTTATGTCACAGAAAAAAAACAAAAAGTTTTTAATCAAACAGTGCTATTACTTTATTCATTTATATTTTTGTATACTGTGAATAAAGTAGACTCTCATTTGTGTTTTCTTGAGCAAATTATATTCCCTGACATGTTTATACCTCATGCAGATGGTACCACTGCATCTTCATAAATCCAAGTTTAGAGAGAAATTGGAATATTTCCCTCATTTATATGCATAGAAGCTTAGAGATGAACTTCTATCTCGTATCTGTCAGAAACTCGTAACTTGTCACAGGAGAAATATACAGTACAGATGAGGCTGTGTTATAAGGTAATAACAAATTCTCAACAGTCTGTGTATCTCATTATACATATATAACAGCAATCTTCATATCTCATTCCATGGCTATGAAAGACTGCTTTTCACTTCTTAAGTCTGTACTTAGGCACAGAACAAATACTTGGTGGTTGTCATCATGGCTTTAGAACAACTTTGGGTAGACCCATTAGCAATTATCTTCACTGCCTCAAAGTGACAAACCTTTCTTCAATTTCCAATTAGTTAGCTGGGGCTAGTCAAATGGTCCCACTCAACTAGAGTGACAGAGACATGCAACCCCACTGTACAAATAAAACAAAGGGTTAGCCACTATTTTAGTGGCTGTTGCTCTGGAGTGCCAGATGCACTATTTGACTGAATTAAGTTATTGTCTGTCTTGAGTCAAGGAGTATGGGTTTTCATTACATATTACAGTCTCAATGAAATGCAGAGCATTGGAAGGAAAAAGTTAATAGTTAATAACATGGTGGCTTTAGGGAAGGATCAGCACTGTATTTAGTGAAATTGATTTCTAGTGAATGATCAAGATTCTGATTCAATGTAAATAATTTTTAGCTTCAAGGATTAAAATCTACTGCATCTATGATAATAATCTAGCATCCCATAGCCAATTTCCCTAATTCTTGATATTATTCTGTTCAAGTGCCTGAAATAACAATAGAGGCTTTTAAAAACTATCACTTAATTAAGAACAATTTTTTGTTTCTGAGTCATAGGGAATATCAGTTTGTGAAACTGAGGTAAATTTTACACCTCTCCTTATCTAAACACACCCCACATCACACAAATGCAGGGAGAGAGAGAGAGATCTTGATTTTAATAGCTAGCTAGATTGTTTCTGTCCCCAAGAAAGGTGCAGGATGTTTTCCCCCAAAGATGTTCAGTATCAAAAACTTTTCATCATTGGTTGTGAAGAACAGAAGCTGCTTAAAAGAATTCGAGAAGAAAATTCTTCGAAAGACCTGATATTGAGTCTCTGAAGACTCCATTGTCTATTTCATATTAATTTTCCTTCTCCCTTAATGTCTAGATTTTTTCCTAAAATGCACACCATTAATTAATTTCCTTAATCCAGAACTTTGCAACTAAAGAAAAGTGATGAGCCACAGTCTCTGAACTCCTACATATCTAAGAGACTACATTGACTGTCTCTTAGAAACTGGTCTATGGAATGAACTCTAGTTGGCAAGTAGTATCATGTGGTATGTAACACTGCTAGGCTTTGGGTGGGACATGTTACATAAGTAGGAAAAGTGTTTGACAAAGTCTATTGGCCATCTTCTGCTGTAGGAAGTGGTATGATAATATTAATAAACTTTATAACTTTCAATGAATGGTTTGCAAGTATCAACACTTGTATATATAACCCTATAAGTAATATAATTCTAATGTGATAACCAGTGAAATTGAGATACACAGAAATAAAATACTTTTCACATTCATAATCATTTGTTTAAGCAGCAGAACTGAGTCAGGAGAAGAAGTAGGAGTCTATGAGTTTACCTAGAATGCTATACAACCATTCTGGAGTATCACTAGAGAGCCTGTGCTTGCATCTCTGAGCTCATCATGTTTCCAAGTGGTCCCTTAAGCCTCTTTGTGCCATTGGTAAAGTATGTTTCATTCTTCAAATCTATATTTTCACATCAGCATTTTTACTCTGAAAATATCCTTGACTATTATGTTTGCGCTTAAATCATCTGTACTTTCTTCTTAGTATGATGCAGATAGCCCGTGTTGTAAACAGATAATACTATGACAACATATGGATATTTCTTGAAGTAAAGGCTATAACCACTCCACCTTCCTATTCTTGAAGTCAGAAATAATTACTAATACATAGTATACATATGATGGATAGTCACTTAATAAAAAGTAAATTTTTAAATGTGATCTGTGTTATGTAAAATTTTCCCCATTTCTGTTACCATTTTATAGGACCAAGAGTGCCTCCATCAGAAAACCTGGTAACAATGCTTGTGAAACGTTGAAATTACTAGGATTCAGAAGCAGAGATGGTGGTTGGTTTGGGATTGATGATGTTGTGGTGAGAACTGTTCAGAATGGCTTGGTGTCTTTCGAACTGTGTGAACACTTAGAGAGGTAAGGCCATAGGAAACCATCAGAGGCAATGGCACTCTTCTACAGTCTGTAATTAATATGTAGGAATGGAGTCATAGGATTATACTTTTATTGCTCAGATATAATCTTTCTTTTTAGGGTGTACTTAAAAGGCAAACCACAATTGACATGGATCCTCTGTTTGCAATTTTGCCTGTGATAGTTTAAGTAGGACTTTCGAAACTACTTGCAACATAGGTTTGTTTTTATAGGTTTCTCTTCACACCAAAATAGTTTCAAAACAGCACCTTCATTTCTTAAATTCCACAGGATAGTAATTAACCATTCGTATTATGCTCATCTCATAATTATGTAGATATAAACTGAATTTGTTATTTCAGTTCCTTCATTTAGCTTTCTCATTTCCATGTTTTCTAGACGGCCCATTAAAGGACTGTTTTAGACAGTTTTAAGGTACATGAGGATTAGGCACTCATGAAGAAAGGCAATCACACATCTAAAGATAGGTTTCATTTTGTAATGACAACCTTACCTCTATGATTATCCCAGGCCAAATCCCAGAAACTCAGTGTAAGAAGAGAGGGCAAGTAACTGGTTGAGGGAGACCTCTCAGAAACATTCTACGAGGGAATGAAAGAAGCAGAGGAATTGAGGGAAGATGATGGGAAAGCTGGTATGGGTTGGATTTTCCCCAGCCGGTTGCCTCAGGGAAGCTCTGGAATGTTGTGGTGGTTGACTTTGATGGCTACACCTGACAGTCCTTGCCTGTGAGAGAAGGCTGCTCTGAATGAAGGTTTCTGTTCTCTAGAAAACAAGCAAGAGTTATCTTGTTCCATTTGGGGATCGAAATCTGTATCAGTTTCTGAGGATCAATGTGGTAACAAAACACCACAGATTTATTTATGATCTTATAGTTTCAGAGACTCAATGTCTCCAACCAGAGCATATATAGGGTTTGTTTCCTTTGAGGACTTCAAAGGAAGAACCCTCTGAAAGCCTGTCCTCAGCTTATAAATGGTCATCCTGGTTCTCACAGTGTTCCTTGTTAGGTTGAAAACTCCTCCTTTGGAGCACACTAGTAACACTGCATTAGGGTCATCCCTTTGACCTCACCTTAATTTATATAAACTAACATTAGCACTTGATCATGTAATTTGGGGTGGAACAATTAAACCCAAAACAAGATCCATCATGAAAATTCTCACATCACAGAAATGGAGGTTAGTGTTTCATCCCCACCTACATGTGTTAAAGAAATAGATTACTTTGAACATAGTCTGCTTCCATGTTTTGAAGTTTACTTTGATACTTTTCTATAGCCTGACTCTATTTAATGATGGAAAAACAAAAATTTCAAACCATGACAATTGCACTGCCATACAAAGAACACAGCATAATTACACAAAACTTGGTGACAGAGCCTGTAATAAATCTAAGATATATGGTTGCAGCTGATTTAAACATAAACTATCTGCTTTGTCAAAATGTATTTCAGTATAATAAAAATATAGGATAAAAATGTCTTTAAAACTATACCTCTATGGAAGACTGATGAACAAAGGTGTTAAGACTAGGTTGGTTTAACCCCCAGAAACAGCAGACCTGACAAAGGTTAGCTCTTTAATCCCAGACTGATGGCTGCGAATCCAGCATGGGACTGATCAAGACCCCATGAATGTGAGTGTCAATGAGGAGGCTTAGGCAATATATTGGGCCTTGGGTAGTAGATCAGTATTTATCCCTGGCACACTAATGGACTTTGGGTGCCCATCCAACAATGTGAAGTGCACTCTCATCCTGGACCCTTGGGGGAGGGTCTAGGCCCTGCCCTACATGGAGGGCCTCACCCTCCCTGGGGAAATGAAGGGATATTGGGGGGTTGGTGGGAGGGCATAGAAGGAGGGGAGGGAAGGGAGAGGGACCTGGGATTGACATGTGAAGCAACCTTGTTTCTAACTTAAATTTAAAAATAAAATTAAAAAATATTACTTCTGTATTTGTACAGTATATTGAAGTTAGGATAAGATCATATCTTTAATAAATGGGACCTCCTAAAACTGAGAAGCTTCTGTAAGGCAAAGGACACAGTCAGCAAGATAAAAAGGCAGCCCACATATTGGATATTCACTAACCCCACATCTGACAGAGGGCTGATCTCCAAAATGTACAGAGAACTCAAGAAGCAAGTCTCCAAAACACCAAAGCATCCAGTCAAAATATGGGGTACAGAACTAAATAGAGAATTCTCAATAGAGGAGACTAAAATGGCTGAAAGACACTTGAGAAAGTGCTCAATATCCCTAGCCATCTGGGAAATGCAAATCAAAGCAACTCTAAGATACTATCTCACTCCTGTCAGAATGGCTAAAATAAAAAATTCCAAGGACAGTTTATGCTGGAGAGGATGTGGAGAAAGGTGAACACTCCTCCACTGCTGGTGGAAGTGCCAACTTGTACGGCCACTTTGGAAATTAGTATGGAGATTCCTCAGGAAAATAGGAATCAGTGTACCACAAGATCCAGCAATTCCATTCTTAGGTATATACCCAAAGATGCCCATTCATACAGCAAGGATGTCTGTTCCGCTATGTTCATAGCAGCATTATTTGTAATAGCCAGAAATTGCAAACAACCTAGATGCCCCTCAGCTGAGGATTGGATAGAGAAAATGTGGTACATTTACACAATGGAGTACTATTCAGCGGAAAAATCAATGGAATCCTGAAATATGCAGGCAAATGGAGGTACTGGAAGAAACCATCCTGAGTGAGGTAACCCAGTCACAAAAAGAGAAACATGGTATGTACTCACTCATTTATGGATTTCAGACATGAATCAGGGGAGTGTCAGCCTACAATCCCACTAACAGAGAGTCTAGAAAACAGAACCTTCATCCAGTGACTGATGAAAGCAGAGGCAGACACCCACAGACAAACACTGAACTGAACTCTTAGAATCCAGTGTCAGAAAGAGAGAACTGATGGGCAAAGGAGTTAAGAGTGGGCTGGTTTAACCCACAGAAACAGTTGACCTGAACAAAGCAGAGCTCTTGGATATTCAGATTGATGGCTGTGTAGGAAGCATGGGATTGACCCAGTGAGGAGGCCTAGGTAATCTACGGGGCCTTGGATAGTATTTATCCCTGGTGCACAAATAGACTTTAAGTGCCCATGCCACAATATGGGAGGCTCTCTCATTCGGGACTCTTGGGGGAGGGCCTAGGCTCTGCCCTGGATGAAATGACAGTTACTGGAGATCCACCATGGAGTGCCTCACCCTCATTGGGGATCAGAGTGGAGATTGCCTGGGGGACTGGGGGACCTGGTGGTGAGTGCGGGGGAGGAGGGGAGGGAGAGGGAGCTGGGATTGGCATGTCAACCAAGATTGTTTCTAACCTAAATAAAAAAATAATTAAAACATAAAGGTGTGCGCAGATATTCTAGGTCCTTTAAAAGCTTCTACACCGCCAGCAGCTACGTAATACCCTTTGTCCTGAGACATGGTAATGAAATTTCTGAAGAGAAGCTGTCTTCCTATGAACAACAAATTCCTGGATGGTATTTCTGTGACTGCTGAGACTGAGGGACCAATTGAAATTTCGGTACTGCAGAGAATGTGGAATTCTGTAGGCTCAGAGGATAACTACTTTATCTTGGGCTAGTTTTAACTTTCTGGAACAGTCATTCCTTGCTCAATACTCTATCTAAACTAACAACTTTTGATAATAAATAAAAATCCTCTGAGAGGACACTCTCTCAGCTTAGATACAGAGGGGAGGGCCCCAGTACTGCCCCAAATGATGTGACAGACTTTGATGATCCCCCATTGGAAGCCTCATCCTATTTGAGAAGTAGATGGGGGTTGGGATGGGGAGAGAGTGGGGGAAATGGGAAGATGGGAAGGAGAGGGGAGTGGGATTGGTATGTAAAATAAGATTGTTTTAATTTAAATAAAAATTAATTTAAAAAAAACAGGAAAAAAAGTATATCTCTATGGTGCATTTACCAAGGATTGAGCTTGCAGGACAGTAAATGGTTCTGAGTGAGACAGTGAACACTGAATCTGAAGACCAAGGCTGTTACTCTACCCTTGATAGGACTTATAAATACTTTGACACTGGAGAGACTAAATTTATTATATTTTTCTTCAATAATAACAATATTTCTTACTTTTATTTTTTCATATATTTAAAAATTGTTGGTTTTGAAGACCACTTACCAGACAAGGGGGAGCTCTTGAACCCCAGACTGATGGCTGAGAGGCAAACAGTGGACTGATCCAGACTCCATGAATGTAGCATCAGTGAGGAGGCCTCAAAAATCTCTGGGTCCTTGGGTAGTAGATCAGTGTTTACCATGGTGTACGAATGAACTTTGGGAGCCCATTCCACATGGAGGATGCTCTCTCAACTTTGACACATGGGGAAGGGCCTAGACTCTTCCCTGGATGAAATGACAGACTCTGGAGACCCCCACCAAGGGAGGGCCTCACCCTCCCTGGGGAATGATATTGGGATTGACTGAGGAGCTGGGGGAGAGCTGGTGGAGGGACAAGGGAGGAGGGGTGGGTGAAAGAGCTGGGATTGACATGTGAAGCATGCATGTATGTTTGTTAGACATAATTTTATTTTAATAAAATTTTTTTAAAATGTGGGTTTTAGAACCTTTGTACTGTCAATTAGCTTAAAACAGAAACATATTATTTGGCTATATAAAACCATCTCCTTTACATTCTTTTCTTTTTTTTTTAAGAGTACGGGGACTTATAAAGTGCAGAAGAGAGTGTAAGGTTCCCTGGGGCTTAGGGTACTGATGTAATTGAGCAGCCTACCAGCAGTGCTAGGGATCTAACTTGAGTCCTATGCTCAAAGAGAATCGGATCTTACCTGCTGAGACATCTCTATATGCCCTTGTTTGCATTTTCTTCTCTGCACATCTCCATTTTAAATTGTTGATGCTGCAACGATAAACGATATACTTAATGAAAGTAAAAATAAGTATTTATTGTAGAAATTACTCACAAGAGACCAAACAAGTAACCCAGGTGATCCAAGTAGTTTTCCACCGCCGAACTGGAAGCCGGAAAACCGCAAAAAAAGAGCTAGACTTCCACTGTTCAGTCTTTTATACCTTCCTCCGAAACGCCCCTAGCCATGCCTAAAAGTGGGCCTGGCTAGTGACGTAGTTCACCGCCTATGTCCGTATACGTCTTTAGTCATGTCTAAAGTGGGTGTGGTTAGTGGTGTGGTAAACTGCCCCATTATTACCTCATCTGTATGTGCCTCTAATAAGTCACATGGCTAATGGTGGAGTTCTGTTTTCCTCATACAAATTGTTGCTTATTTATTTACTTCATAGTGTTTGAGACAGCATCTTGCTAACTGGAAATTTCTATTTAGAGAAGGCTGGACTCAAGTTCATGGCAATCCTCCTGCCTCTACCTCCTTACTGCTAGAATTACAGATATAAACAATTCCATTTGGATCATTAAATTTTGTTGTTGTTGTTAAGGTTCAAGACACAAATGGACATTATTCTAGGTCTAAATTGCATCAGAATCACCCAAATACTGTCTTTTACCTCCTTATTTGTCCCATTAGAAAGTCTTCAGGGGCAACAACATAGCTTGAGTTGTCATCTCCTGTGACATTAGTGCCTTGTTCTGGACCCCCTCTGGATAACAAATCTTATGTAGATAAGAATACATTCCAAACTAATAATAAATACAACAGGCAGTTGTTATCACCAAAAATCATGTACTGGACATAATTATATGTGTTGCAATTTCACACAGTTGGCAGGGCAATAGGTTTTTTCATACCAACATCACCACAAACATGGGTAATATGCTTGCACTGTGAAATTATGACTTCATCATCACTAAGCAATAGAATTCCTAAGCTCAATTATATTCTTATAGTACCACCCGGGTAGGTGCATTCAGTCACTGATTGAAATGACATAGAATGCATGACTATAATTAAAAGATGGGACCACCTTTAGAGTTCAGTTGAGACAGGATGGTTACATGAGGGATATGTTTTAGAGGGTGATATGGCAGTGTTCACTTACAATCTCACTACATGGAAGACTGAGGAAGACTGAGGAAGACTGCTGTGAGTTCAAGGCTAGATAGGCAACATAGCAAGAACAAACCACCCAATAACAACCAAAAACGTGCTTAAGAATTTAGCTTGAGATCTAGGGAGAGGTCTCAGGTAACGTTCCTGCCATGAAAACAAGAGGGTCTCAGTTAAGCTTCCCAGCACTCAAAAACCTTAACATGATATCTCACATCTCCAACTTCAGTATTGAGAACGGAGACAGGAAGATCTCTGAAACCCATTGACCAGCAAGTCTAGGGGACTGGATGAGCTCTCTTAGGTTCACTGAGACCCTCTATAAGACATTCTATCTCAAATAATAAGGAGGAAAGAGGTGAAGAGATACAAACAGCTAACATAGTCTCCACAGGTATGCACATACTTGTGGCCCCACACCCAAATGTACAGATGTTTACGTCCACACAAACCACATGTATGCAAAACACACAGACAAAGACAACAAAGAACTTAATTAATATAAACTAATTTCTTGACTGCCTGGTATTTCACTAAAGTCCTGTGTTAATATAGGTAGTTGATCATCAGAATTCTTGCTTTAAGTGAAAATGAAGAAAAGTAGCTTTTTCCTTAGGTCTGTGGTGTTTGAATGCTTCATATTCCCCTTGGGTCTTGCCTCTTTCTTTTGCACAGGTTTATTGTGCTACAGTTGTCTTCCACAGTGGACAACAGCCACTTGGTGTCTTTTGTGAAGTCTTTAGAGGAAGCCTCACTCAGCATCACTGCCTGCATTGTATTGTCACACCAGAAGGATAATCCACATAGAGTGGTTATTTTAGTGGTACCTTCTAAGGAGTTAAATCTGGCACTGAAGAACTTGCGCTCAGAAGGGTTTGGAGGACTTCCAGAATCATCTAGACATTTCCAAGTAAGAGAAGGAGAACAACTTCTTTTAAGGTTTACTGGAAACATATTTGGCTCAAGTAAGTATGAGGAACTATTATCATGTATTCTACAGACTATAAGCCACAAACCTCAGATTTAACACCCCAAATTTGTATTACGAAGGAAGACTTCCCTTTAGAGAATTTCAGGAAATATTTAGAGAGTAGTCTGTCTAGGCACCAGTCTTTTTCTGCACAGAGGCACATGTGTCTTTATGGACAGATTCAAAGTGACATTCTTTTAGAAACAGTCTTCTTCATGATGGCTCCCTGTGTTCAAGCTAGCATCATCTCTTCCCTTTGCAACTCCTTAGCTTCTCAACACTCCCTGAATCCTCTTGGCAATATGAATTTGTTTCTGCACAGTCATAGTAATTTGTGGAGAAGCATGTCATGTGACAGATGGCCCCTCACTTATGATGGTTTGAGTTAGAAAAGTTGGCTTGATGATATACAATAGCAATACATGTTCAAGTAGAAGTTGTACATTCTGAGTTTTGATCTTTCTTCAGCCTAGCTCTTTCCAGAATGATACTTTCTGTGATGTTGCAACCCCTAGTTGCCCACCCAGTCTCAAGGGTAAAAACCTAATATTCTGTAGTGTGGTTGCTAAGCCATGGTGTCAAGTATTTGAAGTATAGTAAGTGTGTTTTTGACAAGATATTTTCAATGTGTTGCCTTTGTAAGAAAGTGACTATCATAACTCCAGGAACATCTGCATGTTACTCTTATGATAGAACTGTATTAGCCTTCATTGTATCTAAAATTATCTACAAATTGTTTAATGTGTCCTTCAAGAAGCTAACATTGGTCAGTGGAATCCCAAAAGATATGCTTTAGAAGTATGCCATGTAATTCCTTATTTTAAATGACATGTGTTTTATTTTACATATTTTAAGATATATTCTCAGAAATATATTTTACATTTGGAAATTGGTCTGAGGTACAAAAGGAGCTTAAGAATATTATATGTGGGCTATACTCTGAAGACTTCTCATTCCCACCTTTACCCAGGGTTACTTTTGTTCCCATTATAAATCATATTAGAAATCAGAAATTATTGACTCCTAGGTTTGGATTTTATTCATATTCTCAGGAGGCACTCTTCATTTGAATGAAAGTTCATGGGACAGTGAGCATGTCTTCCTTGTCTGATGTCCTCTGAGCCTAAGAACACTGTCTCTCAATGCCTGTAGAGTGAATGAATAAAACTATGACAGTGCTAAAGAAAATGAGCAAGATGATGGCAATGGGAAGTTCTGGGGAGGAGGAGAAGTGAGTCGCTAAGGAAGGTGAGGAAGACAGTGAAAGGGGAAGTGAAAAGAAGAAAAAAAGAACAAGAGTAAAGAGATAGCTAAAAGAGGACAACAGAAGGCCTTCAAAGGAATTACCATCAGGGCATTTCTTTTTCATCAACTATTTCCTATTCCTTTCCTTTAGTAAAATAAAATATCAAAGGTATACTTATAATGATGGGGTGTGACTAAGGGGTAGATTTTGTGGGGATTTCTGAACCAGGAACCTTGATGTGCACTGACTTGGTGTAATACTCTCTGTATATTTATAAGTTAACTTGCATAACATTGAATTCATGATGCCTACTATCTCTCATTCAGAAAATGACTCTAAGGCTTCACATGGTATTTGTAGTTCACAAAGAAAAAGTTCACTGGGATAAGTGAGATCCAATGTTACCCAATATCTCCCAATCTAAATTATCTTTTCCACCCTTACATACAACATCTCAGACATTGGAAGAGAGGAGAAAGGAAGAATGGGAACAATGCCTTCCTATTTAAGTTCTGAAGCAACAACCACACTACACACCCGAGGAAACTCTCTAAAGAGTCAGAACTCAGAAGTACTCCACTCAAACTCATGATGCAAATGATTTTTCTGTAATACTGAAAAGGCAGCTATGTTCACCTACTCTCCTAAACAGGACTGAGCTGCTGTCTTCACAGGCAGGGAACCTGTTGTCTTGGCTGATAAACTAAGACAGCCTAAAGACTGGCAGCGTGCATGCTAGCCTGTCTATAAAGGATGGAGATGATCTCATCTTCATTCAAAGGTAGGTGAGATGCCCATACTCTTTCTATTGTCCTTTTTCTGGAGATTTTTGCTCATACTAGATCTTCACTGGAATTTTCTGGATCTAGGAGAAACATGACTCTCCATTAAGAATTGACACTTATCACTCCATCAGAACCTGTAAAGGTGAAGGAGATAACTTCAGGTGTTCTCTGCTTGCTGGGCCCTCATCTCCACTCCTACTTCTCTCCCACTCTAATGTCTCCTATTTCATCTTTGTTGTTGTTGTTGTTGTTGTTGTTTTGGTTTTCAAGACAAGGTTTCTCTGTGGCTTTGGAGGCTGTCCTGGAACTAGCTCTTGTAGACCAGGCTGGTTTCAAACTCACAGAGATCTGTCTGTCTCTACCTCCCGACTGCTGGGATTAAAGGCGTGCGCCACCACCACCTGGCCCTATTTCATCTTCTTATGTTCAAAGAAGTATTCCTTATTCTCCCTTATCATAACATTTTCTTTAGGAGCCTTATTTTAATTTCACAGATATTCACCTTTTCTTTTGTGTCTCCTGATATAGACGACACTTTCTATTTACTTATTTAATGCCAGTTTCTGTATACTCTCCTTGGAAGTGGGCAGTCTTGTTGGGGGCACCATGTAACCCCCATGACCTAGATTAATACAGGGCAGATAGAAGGACCTCTAGGATTACAAATGAAAACAAAGGTCTTAGCATTGTACTAGTAATTGTGATGGTTGAATGGATTAATGGTATGTAAATTCATTAATTCATTATTGAATTTAGATGACTGTCCATTAAGAACCCCAAAGTATTCTGCCCTACAGATACAACACAGATGACTCATGAGAAAGTTTCATGAGAAATAAACACTGTTCCTACTTCTGAGATGAAATCAAAGGGATGTTTCTGTGTCTTGATTTTCATCATTTGTCTGTTAGACCTAGAGCATGCTTTTATTCTCTGTCAGAGCTGTTGATACAGCACTTACACTTTTTGATGCATGCTCCTTAAGACCCCTTTTAGTGCAAACAAAATCCAGAAAATGCTAGCAATTTCTTGGAGAAGGTTTTCTATAATGATACCTTAGTCTTAATCCTAATGTCTAGAAAGACTCTCTGCAAGTCTGTTGCTTTAAACATGTTGTCAGTGTCTTATGCCCTTTAACTCTGGGAAGTGAAGCTGCTATGACCTTGGGTAGCATATTAAATTAACCATTTTCTATTCACTCTATAAAACTTGCCTACTATTATGTATATTGTCATCTACAGACAAGACAAAGTAAGTAACTAAGTCACTACAATATACAATATAATGCTGGCCTAAAAATGTACTGCAGAAAAACCAAAAAAGGAAAAAGACAAAGAAGAGGCAGAGTTAGGATTTTAAACAATGATCATGGAAGAACACATTATGTAGGTGACATTTATATAATTCTCTAAGGACATGAGAGAATGAGCATTAATCCCATCTGAGGAAGTTTGTCTCACGCACAGGGATTAAAAGTGCATACAAATTGTGTGCTTGAGGACCAGCAAAGGCTAAGAAAACAGGATCATAAGGCATGAGGAAAGGTAATGGGAGATGAAGACTGACCCTTCCTAGGGCCATTGCAAAGATTGTGCCTGATACCATTTGAGATGAGTGGTCCACAGGGTAACACGACTCAAGCTAGATCACAACTCTGTTGAGAATAAGCTGCAAGGTGCGGGTTAAATGCAAGAGAACAGTTAATGGGCTATTTCTGTAACTGAGCTATTTCTGTGAGTCTTTGACAGACCTTCGAGAAGAAGCTGTGGATAGTGGGTAAGAATCACAAAAATACCCAGAGACTCTGTTTCTCTTGGTATATTTTGGTTCCTCGTGTAGCTGGCACTTCCACTTCCTCATCTGACTTTTCTAATGAAAACTCTCATTCATGTATGTGTACTGCCTATGACATCAATAAAAAACATTTAGTTCTCATTTCTGAGAAGAATATGCATTGCTAGAAGAAACCTCTGGTTATTCACAAAATATAAATAGTGTTTTGACATGGCAAGTATTTGTCCAATAGTGGTTATCTCACTTCTCTCCTAGGGACTGTGTGTCTTACATGGTGAGAAAGGGGAAACACTCCCCAAAGGTCAGCTAGTCAAAGCTGTCCTTCTCTGAGTTTGAAATGTCACTTTCATTTTTACCTCTTTGTATGTGTCATCGGAAGAGGAAAAATACTGTGTTTTTCTTTTATGTTTTTTTTTACTATTTTGGCTTTTTAAATTTCATTTTTTATAAATTTTAATTTAAATTGCAATCTTATTTTACATATCAATTCTAGTTCCCTCTCCCTCCCATCCTCCCATGCACCCCACCAATCCCTCATCCTACTACCCAAGGATGATGAGGCCCTCCATGGGGGGATCATCAAAAACTGTCACATCATTTAGGGCAGGACCTAGCCCCTCCCCCATGTATCTAGGCTGAGAGAGTATCCCTCTAATTGGAATGGGCTCCCAAAGTCCTTCGTTTTTTAATCCTTTGTTCTTTTTTATTAGAGTGATGGCCCTCAAAATAGAGTGTTCTCTCTTAGCAACATTGCAAGCTCACATTTAAAAGAATATATATTCCAGTTGTTTATAAGATCAACCATCTGTTACTGATAAATCCCCACTAATTGCATGCCTGTTTAATTTACTGATGTGACTTTTAGAGCTTCACTACAGATACTGTGAGTTTTAAAAAGGTGTTTGATGGCAATGATAGGTTTGCAAAGTCTAGATCTGAACTTAACCATTGTAGACTTACTTCCAAATCCTTGTATCCTGCAAATTAATCATCACTTACAAGTAATTATAAATTTCACAAAGAAGAGACTTAAAAAAAAAGAAAATTCCTAAGTCATAGTTTATTACTATCAACATACTGATGTTTCTTCTGATAATTCTTGGGGCAAGAAACAGAGACCTAACCAGGCATTACTTGAGGGATCTGAAAGCTTTCATTTACAATGTAGATCACATTTTATTCACACAAAAATAATTTATCATTAAAAATGCTAACATGCATCTAGTAATATGATGTTATTCTAGGATGATGGCTATTCATTTCACAACCATGAAGTTAGAGTTATCAGTGAGAGGACAAAGCTCTATTTTTAAAACCTCTGCTATGGTGGTTCCAGCAGGTAGTTCTGAGCAAATGCCTAACCAGAGTTAGGAAAGAGCTGAGATGGTTGGAGAGGAAGGACTGTGCCTCTAATCTCAGGGTGTCCTTTATGCTCTCTTGTCTTTATCCTTGCTTGTATTCTGCTTCTGTGATGTTTATGCTCAACCCCTTCTCCATAGTCTCATAATACCTAATACCCTATGAATAATACTCCAGATTGTTGTACATTTTCAGACTGTCTCAACACAATTCTGTGTCCAAGTTTGTCTTTAAAAAATGCAGGTTGTCTATTGTACCAGACTATGTTGACTCCTTATAGGAGCTCTTACCTGTGAGGAAGAGTGGACTGGAGGTGGGCCAGGGGAAGGTAAGGGAGGGTGGGAGGAGGTGAGGGAATTTGGAGGAGGGGTGGGAGGGAGAACTGTGGGGAAAAATGCTAACATGAAATCTTCTTAAGAAACACACCCCTGCCCCCATAAATCATTGTCTTCATAGAGGTCTGCTTAACACAAGGAGCCAGATTGTCAAAACACAATCTCATATAAAGGGGATCATGCCTGTTCTTTCTATAACTGAAAACCGGTCTATTCCTGTTTTTAAGTGTTCAGAAATTTACCAAAATGCTTTTCAGCCGTCACAGCAGGGAATCAGCAATATTGTCTAAATCTTTTAGTGAATTCTTTCCCCCAGGCAAAAGAGAAAGCATTCATTCTGTGAGAGATGGCAGAGGACCACCACCATTATGGGTTCCTAGAGAGCAGAACTGCTGTTTGGCATTTTAGTCAAAGTGCAACTGTTTTGTTTAGCATACAGATGCAGTATAACAGCAGAATCCTTCTTTCTCACCATTTGCTACCATGCTGTCATCTCTCCAGCATTTTATATGTACCACTAATTGGGGTAATTGTTTTATTTATATTACATTAGGTCATTTTTAAGGATAATCTTAGAGGGCAATCACTGTTTCTTCTGTTTTAAAGATGAGGAAGTTAAGGGCCTCAAGGTTCCCCAAGTTGAGAGCACTGGGCAGATGTTACCATGTCAATAAATGGTATAGGCTGGACTTGACACTACACATTTACATCCCAAGCATGCCACCTCGGCTACTCTGCCAGAACCTCCTAAAGATGCTTCAGTGGTGATGCAGGTAGGCACTGTTTTAGGAAGCAACAGTATCTCTTCTACTGGTGCAATATGAGGCCCTAAAACCTGCAAAAGTGGAAACTCCTATTCAAAATGCTTCGTTATTTTTGAAGAACAGACTTAGCTATGCCTTTGTTTTCAGAGCATCATCACCATATATCCTTAATAATTTCAACAAATCTAATAACTATTCTATTTGAAAGTTCCATGATAGCATTGTCTTTTTCTATATTTGAGTAAACATTTCTGTTCTCTTTACTAAGGGAGCCATCAGCTGGGCAGTAGTGGCACACACTTTTAATCCAAGCATTAGAGGCAGAGGCAGAGGCATGAATCTCTAAGTTCAAGGCCAACCTGGCCTATAGAGTGAGTTCCAGGAAAGCCAAGGCTATACAGAGAGACCTTGTCTTGAAAAACCAAAGCCAAACAACCAAACCAGACTAAAGAAGCTGAGAGACTGTTGTGGTAGCCACTGAGCATAGTCATCCAGCATGGTAGAGTGACTGAGAAGTTGCATTTTTGAACATTTAGGGGTGTGTGTGTGTGTGTGTGTGTGTGTGTGTGTGTGTGTGTGTGATGACAACTTGCAGGGGTTTGTTCTCTCCTTCTATCATGTGGGATCTAGGGGTTGAAGGAAGCACCTCTACCTGTTGAGCCATCTGAGAGGTCAAAGAGTTGCATTTTATATGGTCTTTAATTTAATTTTAATTTACAGTTAAGCAATCACATATCCCAGGAGAATGCAGTACTAAAATATCCAATGTGAAGTCATAAATACTATAAAACATGAATACTTCCAAAAGTTTCTTGCTAGAAAATCATGGAGAAGAAAAAGAAAAGCAAAAATTGTTCCCTGTAGGAGCTTCCAAAGAATATGTGGCCTAATCTACAATAATTTACTGTTGCTGTAAGGTGATGTGTCCACAAGGGGTGACAGCAAGCAGGACACTTTAATGAGATTTGATAAAGGAAAGGTCATTGGGATTTTCAAAATTTGAAGCAAATCAATTATCTTATTGGTGACGAATGCATCTCCTTTCTAGGCAATGGGAAGGATTATGAGAAAGACTACAAACTCATTTTCCACCTACAAAGGAAACCCAGGCTAGAACTCCACATCAAAGAGGTGGATGAATTTGGGAACTATAGCTGCCCCCATTATAAAGGCACCATTGTGGTCTATAAAATACCAAGAGAGAAGATTGTCCCCAACTTGGATCAATCCCTTCCTGAAAATCTTTACCAGTCACCAGTTTGTAAATTACCTTTGAAACTGCCAAAGGTAAGTTTCTGCCTACCAACTTTTGTTGCTTCTTCATAATTCCCTGTTACAATCAGTTCTGCAAGCCAATGGATACAGAAGATTAAAAAACATAATAACAATAAATCTGATAAGAGGGAGTAGGTAGGTCCAATTCTAGAGCAATGGAACATGCATTGGGTTTGCCTTTGCTGATGTTAGTTTTTTAACTAGAGCAATGGATGTTGACTTGTTCTTCACATCAAATTGTTAATGACTGTACAAACAATGCCATTCATTTTCTGTAACTACATCTCACACTGAGTGTACTTCAGACTGTTCTTGAATGACAGAGCATTCTGAACGTGGGACTAACATCAAAATAACCTCACCAAGACAAATCAATTAGTTCAGCATGTTTATTATTACAAGATATTCATATCTAATAGTCTACCTCATGCCAGAAAATCCGATTAAATTATTTTCCAGAAAAGTCAAACATATAAACATTTTATTATTGTAAAAGTAATTTCTTTCCATGAATAAGTATAACCGACCTCTATTTTTTTTTCTGAGATAGAGTTTCCTTGTGTAACTTTGAAGCCTTCCAGGAACTAGCTCTTGTAGACCAGCCTGGTCTCAAACTCACAGAGATATGCCAGCCTGTTCCTCCCAAGTGCTGGAATTAAAGCTGTGTGCCACCACTGCCTCACTTAACCTCTATTCTTTTTTTTGTTTGTTTGTTTTTTGTTTTGTTTTTACGAGACAGGGTTTCTCTGTATTGTTTTGGAGGCTATCACTCCAGCCCGGCTTTGAACTCACAGTGATTCGCCTGCCTCTGCCTCCCGAGTGCTGGGATTAAAGGCGTGCGCCAACACTGCCCGGCAACCTCTATTCTTAATGGGAAATAATGCTGAAAATTCATACTACTGTCTTGCAAAAAGACACTTGTTACTTTTAAAGAAAGATACATTAATATTTTTCTGTTCTTACCTTCTGTGCTTTGAATCTCAAAACATGTTTTCCATATACACATTTTTTTTTACAATTTTTAGGTGTCATGTTTCTCAGATTATACATAAACTCACTACGTAGCTGAGGATGTCCTTGAACTCCAAATCCTCTTGCTTAAATCCCAAGTGCTAGGGTTACAGGTGTGAACCATCACAGCCAGCCTTTGACCTGTCCTTAAATAACAAATATTAACTGTTTTCTGAAAGAGGTGGGCTCTTCTATTTGTTATCATAAATGCAGAACTATGCAAACAAAATGTAGTCAGAATCTGTGTTGTCAGGAATGGTAGCTACTGTCCACCATGGCTATCCTCAGACATGTAAGATATGTCTCAAAGGAAACATCCTGTGACAGATAGATCCATTAAAGAGATATGGAATGAATCATGATTTGTTTATAATGATGAGATGGCATATGTGTAATATTATGGTTTTATCAGATTAAATAACACATTCTATAAATCAATTTTATTTTTCTTTAAGTAACTGCTACATTGAAATATAAATCTCAAATTCTCTGTGGAATAGTTGTTTCCTAAATGAATGTAACCCTAATGGAGTATGTAAAACATGTATTTAAAACTTCATTATAAGATTATAATTGATTATGCATTAATAGTTGTTCAGAAGATGAAACTAGCATCTCAGGAAGCTGAAAACAGTAATCCCGTTGTAGTGATTACATCACTTCTTTTTAAACTGTTTTTGTTCTTGGCAATGTAACCACCAGACATGAAGGGAAAAGTGGCTTACCGGAAGGAAATGGGTGCATTTGATTGATAACATGATAGAAACATCTTAGCAGAAATTCACATTTCAATGAAAGCCATTACCAGAATTTCTAAAATACAGAAATCCCTTTAAATGCTTTTCCATGCACTGTGTCATTAAATCTTCACAGACTCTTTTGATGGAAATGCATTGTTCTTTGTTACTGGAAGTGGAGACAGAGCATGTTCAGTCAAGTTGTCTGAGGTCCTACAACTAAGTGTAGAGGAAGGACTCCAGTGCAGGAAATCTGTTCCCCAGGTGTTCTGCAACCTCTGTGTTGTTGCCATTTAGCAGATAAAACTTCTATTCTTAGTCCAGAAAACAGGATAGAACTGCTGGTATCTAGATTCTCCCTAAAAATTGTAGGACAGGTCGAAAAAGGAAAGCATGAAGACAGACTGTTTGAAAAAGTTAGCAAATAACATGCCATGGACACCAGTCAAACCGAAGTAGCCTCAATGTTAATTTATAATTTCCCTCCAATAAAGAGTATACATACTTTAAATTTGATTTTACTATTAATATATATATATATATTGTGTGTGGTATATGCCTGTGTGAATATATAAATATATAAATTGTCTGGAGACAATTTGCAGAAGTTTGTTCTTTCCTTTGCTCACTGAGCAGTCTGTCTAGCTCCTATTTTGAGTCTAATAGAAACAACATTTTACAGATTGCCTGGGATATAACTGAGTGATAGAGGATATGCTTAGCACATGTGAGGTAATGGGTTCAATCACCACCAGAAACTACCAAGAAATACACATGTTTATTAAACAGAGTTTTTTGACATATACATAGAATGTAATGATCAAGTAATCAAGTTGCAATAATTAACATAGCCATCACCTCAAACATTGTTTCAGAGTACCTAGAAAGGAAGAGTTTGAATGTTCTCCAACTACAGGTTGGTTTTTAACATTCAATCCCTGCCCACATGCTAATTATAGTCCGTATTTTCCATCTACTAGTCGTCTTTAACCTGTAACACTCTGTAAATTTATTTGCTGTACTTAGACCTAGTCTGTCCTGGCCAGGTCCTGTCCTAAATTCTGAGAACAGAGTCTGACTCAGACCAGGCACTAAATTTGTGTGATGACATGGGAGAGTTGCAGTACACACTGCTCCCATTATCTTCCCTGAGGATCGCAACTGTGGACTCGATGGAACACTCACACTTTCTCATATTAGTATTTTAGAGCTTAATTGTATGAGCCCTTGCCTGTCAGACTGAGGAGTTGATCTGCATATATACATAAAGATTTGGAGTGGAAAATATACATGATGGCTGCTCCCCAGACTGCTTAATTGAGCCTATTTCTGCCAGGGAGCTGTGTTCTTATTCTGCAGCTATGGCATGATCAGAGGGAGACAAGACCGAGCACAGTAGGACTTTCTAGTAGAAAGCGCCAGGACTTTACAGCCAATGTGTCAGACAGTGAGAAAAGATATGTTATGTACAGAAAAAGGAACTTCAATACAAACGTGACATAAATTGAACTTTCAGTTATCTGTATTTCCTCTGGGGCCTGTATGATTCTTGAAATAATTAGGTGGATTAGCCAAGATAGCTAATTTAGGAGTTTATATAGATTTTTTTTCTGTAGAAGTTTATAAGTGATCACCATAAATGTGTCAGGAGCTCTTCTCCTACTCCTACTCTGACACCCACTTCTCACCCATTTGTCTGCTCCTGTTGGCCACCTCCAGAGTATCTTTTTATCCATGGTGGAAATCTGGAGGGCCCAATCTCATGCAGGTGTCTATAGCTGCTGCTCATGCTTACAAGAGCAATGTCAGATCTGAATGACAGTAATAGAGTACTCATCTTCCCCCATTTCTGTCTGTTAAATTCTTTTGACCTCTCTTCTGCAATGTTCTCTGGGCCTTCAGAGGTAGGTGTATGTGTGTATGTGTGTGTGCGTGTGTGCGTGTGTGTGTGTGTGTGTCTTGTTTAAGACTGAGGACCCATTTGTCCCTTATTCTCAGCATTTTAAATGAATATGAGTCTCTGCATTAATTGCCACCATCGTCAAAAATCTGTATCTCTTCCCCATGCTGAAAGTAGAACTAGTTATGGGTAGAAATAAAACTATCTACTAGTAGAAAAGAAAGGAGCACTGGGAGGGGAGCAATCAGGCAGGGGACTGATAAATACAAAATAAATAATAAGTAGCATGTGCTGCTTCAGTCTTAATAAAACTTAAGTGGGATTAGCGAAATAGTGGCTGCCAAAAGCTAAAGATACATGTATGAATGTAGGTATGTACGTATGTATGTTACATGTATGAATGTATGTATGTACGTATGTATGTTACATGTATGAATGTATGAATGTATGTATGTACGTATGTATGTTACATGTATGAATGTAGGTATGTACGTATGTATGTTACATGTATGAATGTATGTATGTACGTATGTATGTAAAGGTCTAGACTTTGATGCATACAATTAAAAAGTAAGTTTACAAAAGTTTGGAATGGAGGTAACTTTCCTCTATGGAAGATTAATTCTGTTCTATGAAGCAATGGGTTTTTAGGCAAAACCTGAATAAGATGTGGAATACCTCACTATGTTTTGTTGGCCAGAGAGGACTCAGAGGCTCTAGAACAGTGCAATCTATTGCCATTGCTCTAGTTCCCCACCACCCCAAACAGAACATGATAATAAAACTTTAACCTGAAGAGACATACATGCTCTGGTTATAGAACAAAGAGATCCAGATGGAACTGAGTGGGATCTCTCTCTCTCTCTTTCTCTCTCTCTCTCTCTCTGCTAGCTAGAATTCATAATGCTGGAAGGTGCTATTCAAGTTGCTAGGAAAGTAAACTCACCAATGGTCTTAGCTAAAGACCATCTTTGCTGCAATACTGACCTGCTAGGCAAGATACCTACTGGTTCAATAGTGCTACTACCCCTACTATTTTGGAGATAATCAACCAACTGCTCTATAATTAGATGTTAACTCCATTCCATAGGAAGGAATAGAGACTTCATAATATAAAGTTGATCAAAGGAACATGGCTAGAAAAGACATTGCCCAACTGGGGAACACACTAGTGTTTCCCTAAATAAAATATATTGTGAAACTGCTTTCTGAATATTTCTGAATCTCCCCCCTCCATCCCACCCTCCCTTTCTTCCTTCTTTCCTTCCTATCCCTCTTCTTTCTTTCTTTCTTTCTTTCTTTCTTTCTTTCTTTCCTTCTTTCTTCCCTCCTTCTCCTCTCTTGGTCAAATTTAGGAGAAGTCA